ATATATACACATAAACACACACATATATATGTATGTATGCATATGTATATACATAGGAAGCATCTATGCAACGCCTATGGGCGAAAATAAACAGTGTTTTTGCCCATAGGCTGATCACAGTCAGAAAAAATCAGGTGGCGTGCCTTTTTCAACCACCACAGACCTAGCATGTCTGTGTCGATACCATCACAGAACTAATATGTCCATGACAGTCAAAAAAAATGTGGAACCGCAACAGACGGCACTCCATCCGTTGCGGGTCCGTTCAATAAATCGTCACGGACATAGCAAGTCTGTGACGGTGGCGAAACACTATAGCACTTCGCCTATAAGCATTTTTTAGGTTTTTCCATATGCATATTACATATATATATATATATATATATGCAAGAGAGTTACATATGTTGGGTTTTGTGGCCTTTAAAGGGCTCGAGAGCTTGTAAATATGATATTTTATAGTGGAATATGCACTTCAGTGGGAGTGCGTGTGTTGACTGACTAAGGGTTGGGCGGTTTATGGCCCTGATCATATCTAAAACCCTTAGCCCTGAGCATGCGGCACTACTAAGAAGGATTTGCAATGGGTCACCCTTGTTGAGGTTGGAGAGATGCCCACGGATCATATTTGTATGCCAAGAGAACTGTGTGGTCTCCTGTGTGTGGTCGTAGGCTTGTGAAAGCAAGAGTCAACGCCTCAACAAACTTTCACATGGCATGTACACATAACAATCGTATTATATAGGGATACGCGTACATGTGCATAAAGAGAGCCATTTTTGCACTGTGGTGACAAGTGCGAGACTTGTCCTTAAAGGAGGGAACTGAAATCCACATTCCAGAATCATCGTCTCATTGTTTATCATCCAACTTTGACAAGCTAATCATAAGCCCCTACTTTGAGATTGTGGGTCATTGGTCTTTGTTAGGTTGGATAAGAAAACAGTATTAGATCATAGTTTCTTGAGCGAGTGGAGTGCCCTTATTGTTGTTTATTTTGACTCATTGGTACCAATCTACTCCTAGTATATTTTATTTTAGTATTAGAAATGGTTTATGATTCTTAAATTTTTTCAGAATTAAAAAATGTTATTTCTTATGTAATGTTTATTAAAAGGGTATTTCTAAAATTTTGAAACTTAAAATAACACGTGAGACCAATGATCCCACGTGCACCCTAAGGGGGCCACGTGCACCCTAGGGGACACGCCACTTTTTATGCAAAAAAGGGGAGCACACCACCTTTTTAACTAAAAGGTGGCACCAAAGTTCTTTTATATAACATAACCCCCCAACGCCACTTTTTGTGGTTAGCAAAAGTGGCACAACCCTTTTAAGCATAAAGGGGCACACCTTATCTTTTTGGTGTCGGTCATGCCCAAATACTTCTTATTAAAACTATATGTGGCTCCACGCCACTTTTTAAGAAAATAGGGGGACACCCCAATTTTCTTAAAATTTGGTTCAAATTTTAAATGAGTATAAAGATAGGAAATCTTTTGATTTCAAATAGATTTGGTTTCCTATTCTATGGGACTTATTAAAATCCAGATCTTCCTTGATTATGGGAGATTTGGATAATGTTTACATTTGAATATATTTCAATTTTGAATAGAAGTTGGACTAGGGTCAAAGTCTAAAGGGATAAATTTCCTATCTTTCCACCTAAAATCATGACAATTAATTTTTGGGATGGATAGCTCTGATTAAATTTCTCTCAGCCCACAAATTTCCTAATTATCCTAAGTGTCTAGCTAAAAATTGGATGAGGCAATACTTAAAAAGAATCCTATTCAAATTAGGAGATAAATTTCATTCTATTTAAATCCATTTTGAACCCCCTCTCTTATTACAAGATTTCTCTTTCTCATAAGAAAAAAAGATTTGTCTTTCTCTCTCTCACGCACCTACTCTCTCTCTTTTCTCCACACCAAGATTTCCCATAGGGTTTTGTGAAAACCCTAGTCGATTTTTTGAGCTCTTTAAAATCCTAAAAAAAAGAAGTATTGCCTATAAAGCTTCCCTACCTCAAAATTTTCGACAACACTTTAAAGAGTAAAAGTATGTCATTGGACTTAGAATCGGGTGTGGGGTGTACGAAGTCCTAGTACAGACGTAGAGTAACTCCAAGCATCTTTCAGTAAATCTTCCCAGTAGTTTTAATTAAGTTTTAGTATAATTTCCTATATTATGTAAATTTTCAAGAACTTTTGTGCTAAAAAATATAGTGGAAGTTAGTTTACATGTCATGGATAGTTTTTATTTCTCTTAATGGTGGAAATAAAGATCTTAGGTTGTATCTAGGGCACTATTTTAATTTATAGCAACATATTGGAGCCCATGTAGGTGGAATTAAGGTATTTGGAATAAAAGTAGAAAGAAATTTTTTGAATTTAAGACCTTGAGTTCCACATAGCCACACCTTTCAACATAGTGGCCGTATACTGCAGCATAAACCACTTTGAATAGTAAGGATCCATTGGACCCCGTTTTCTTATGAATATTGGACTCGAACTTTGCACACATGCAGATCTCATCTAGGAGGTCAAAAGTATAAAAATAATAATAATAAATAAGGAAAATGAGTCCATTATTTTTAGTTAATACAGGCTGTCCCTATGGTGCCCAATGGATCCAGGCCTTCACTAACTCAAAATCATTGTTAGCTTCTCAAATAAAAATTGTTGCACAAAATTCTGCCCCAATAAGATCCCTAGCTATGTATTTTGGAGCCTGTCTTATACTGTGTCTATAAGCCCATTGGCTTACAGTGGTTATTCCCTACATTAATACACATGTAAAAAACATGTGTGTGCTTGTCTCAAAATACACACACACATTTCTTCTCACTCTTTGGTATATTATATTATTATATTATTATATGTCTTTGTTTGTATATACTTCTTAGTAAAACCTGATTTACAGGCTCTTATCAATACAAAATTACCAATCCAAAAAAATTGATCTCTATGACCTTTTGGCTCCCCCATGACCAGTTCAAATCTAACTTTTGTTGCCCACTTTCATGCTATTGAACTGATAAAATCAACCCTTGCACAATAAAATCTATCATCTCGGAACTATTAATATGGAACAATTTGGTTCCCTGAACAAGCGCTGAAACCTTCCAAATAATCTTATATTGAGTGGCTTCTTGACCATTCTACTAAGGCCTCCCTCATTAGGGTGAATAAAAATGGGGATGGTGGATCACCGAGTCTAGTGCCCCTAGAACCACTAAAGAAATCCCAAGGAGACAGACACAGAAGTCACAGGAACGCCCTACCTTATCCAACCTCCATCTGCAATGGAAGCCCATCATGCCCATCACATAATCTCTCCAATCCACCACTCGGTAGGAGCTCATTTTTCTATTTGAAAAAGTCAAATATCATAAATGCTTTAGCAGCTATAAACGACTTGTCTGTGTATAAGCATCTCTAATACCGTACAATCCAAACAAATGTCTCAATTGAGCCCCATGGGGAAGAATATCCAAGCTAATTAATGAAATCCTACAAGCATATGAATTACCAATGGAAGGCATTCATTATTGGAATAGAGACTCGATAGCACATGAATCAAAATTCCCAACTGCTTGTGATCATACCTGAACTTAAATGCGCAGATTTCAGATGCGGAACTTCGGATGCTGCAAACATACGTGGGTCAGTGGAGGCAGATTGGTTTCGGCCCAAATTGGAAAGGCCTCTACTATCCTGTATTGAGGGGAAAACATAGAAGACGAAAAGATCAAACCCACTAATTCACGATATAGGAGATACCAGAAAGAAAATGGTAAGATCACTTGAAATTCCAAAGGAAAAATCACAAACGAACCGGAATCTGGAGGCCTCGTGCCCAAGTGTCCGGCTGTCCCATAGATGCATTACCGTGACCACGTGGAACCATCATACTATGCAAACAAACAGTTGCCAACACGGAAACACCAATTACAACTATGGCCAAAACATACAATACATAGGTACAACATCAAAACACTGAGGAAAGACAATCAATGATCAATGAAATGAACTTCCAAGTACAAGAATTATTGATTATAGGTATCCATGTGGACATAGCCGCTATAACCAAATGTAAAATATGGAAAAACATGCAACATGGAGGACAAAAGTTCAAAAAACAAAAAAATATGAAAAGAGAGTGTGACAGGTAACCAACATAATGATATTTCCAGTACCTAGCAGTATTGGGAATGTGTAGCAAGCCAGCATCAACAAGCTGCAGAGTGGACGCAAGATCAGGAAGGTCATGGTTTCTCATCCGCTCATCAAACATCTTGGCAGAGGGGCCAATGACGCATTCGCGGTTCATGGGGTTCAAGGGACTTAAGATATATGGAGCATCTCTCTGCAAAAGATGGGGATTCCTCTTTTGAGCCAATTCAAGCAGTTGCATGTGAGCCTGATTTTGCTGCCTTTCCCTAGCTCTCAATTGTTGCCCCTGTTAAACTCAATTGTACCCATGGTAAGTAAGCTCAGAAAACATCACCTTATACCAAGAAAAGATTCAAACCCACCATCAAAAACCACAGCGTTCAACCATGGAATCACCTCTATGTAAGCTGTAGCAGTCTCAGAATGCTTCTTGCTTGTTCGAGCGATAAAAATGTCCCAGAACACAGACCACCACTCCAACAAGAACCCCCCTGGAGCATCAATTGCTGAAACCAGATACATGAATTACACTAAGATTTTAACAATGATATATACATAATTCAGAATAGGGAGAAAAATGATCGAGTTCCAAATGCCTAAAATAATTCAAGAACACGCAGTACACTAAGCCATGAAACAATAAATCAAGGTGACAGAAAAGGTTTAACCCACCAACAGGATCAGTGGGCACTTTCCGTTCGGCTGAGAAAGCCTTGGCAGAAGCATGAAAGTTTCTCTTCATGAAATAGTCATAGATGTAGACGTCGAGCCTGGCAATCAATCAAACCCTAAAATTAGCTACTCAGAACAAACACAAAAGAGACAGAAACAGAGACGTCCAGAGCAAAAGAGAAACATAGAGAAAGAAACATAGTTTGCCGAACTGCAAACGCTCACATCTTCTCCGCATCCCAACTGTTTTCTACCATTGTTGCCTTCCTTCCCTTATCACCAAAAGAGAAGCCTCGATCACTCTATTAAAGAAACATCATATATCAAAAAACACTAAGAGGAAAGAGCAAAGAAATTCGAACCAGAGACTATTTGTGAATTGTGATGAATAAAAAGAGAGAAATAAAAGGTAATTCCATTACAAGAAGCTGTATCGTCAAGCCTGCAAGCATCACGCCATGCCATGCAGAAGCGCGACAGTTTCACCGCCTCAAAACAAAACCCACAGCACCAAGGAACACTAAAAATAATAAAAGAGAGCTCAGAGAGAGGGAGAATCTCCAACACGCGCTCGATGTGAAAGATGAGAGAGAAAGAGAGAGAGAGAGAGAGAGAGCACGCTTCTGTTTCCCTCCAATTGACCCGTGGACCTCCTATGAAATCCGGATCGGTGCGGCGAACTCGGTGACACTGTTCGTCCTCCACTTTTATTATTAAGCTTTTCGTTGCTTTAAAATTTGTAAGCCATTCGAACTTGATAGCATGAGAAAATGCTTGCAAATTAATGTTTCGAAAACCGGGTTGTTGACCCAGATCTTTCGAAAACTAGTTTGGATAGGTGGTTCGGCACTTGGAATCGACAGATCAGCTCGATATGGAGGAGCAAAAACTTCCTAGTACAGGATATGTTCTCACTCTAGGGGGAGAAAAACTTCCTAGTACAACAAAAAAACCAGAATGGTATTATTAACCATGGAGAAGGAATATGTTGCTTATTGTGCAGCATTGCAACACGGCGTATAGCTCAGGACGTTATTGCCACACTTGGGGGTTGTATTGAGTGTTGAAAATTGGTTGGGTGAAATAGGAGCAAAAAAGAGTACAAATTCAAAAAAACAAAGATTTGATTCCTTCTTGTTTTCAGGCATGCATGAGTGTTATCTCAAGACGATATTCGCCCATCTTCAATACAATATTTGGTGTGCATAAGAAAGGAAATTCGTCTTCAGGATACAGGAAAACAGAGAGATCTCTTTTGATGTTCCAAAGCTTTGTGCACCTGTTCTTGGAACCCACACACTAGATACCAGAGTCTCGATGTTTTAAAGAAAGTGAGAGAGAAAATCGAGTAGAGAAAGGTTAGCCCATTGATTTTGATTCTTGGAATTGCTGAGAAAGATGTGTAGCTGAGAAGCCCAAAAAGTGTTCAAGTATCTAACTCGTACAGGTAGGAGAGCCTTTATTATAGAGCACCAAGAGGCTGGCCATTTAGTGTAGTTGTGATTACATGCACCACCAGCAGTTACAAGTTACATGCACTTGCTCATTTAGTGTAGTGGCGAATACATGCACCACTAAACAACTACAAGTTACATGAACTTAGTGGTTGCTATTCCTAACATCCATTTCATCAACGGCTAGATGATCGTTGGATGTCCCAGACGCATCAACGAGTAGATGGTCGATGTCTATCCCACACGAGCTGGGCTTACAAAAACCTATCTAGCCCGACCCGTACACGTGATCGGGCGAGGGGTGCCTCTCACGGTGAAGTGCACCATCAAGCACCCTTGCGTCTACACCCTCGCACATGCACACGTGCGTGCGCGTCGCACGCTTCTTATGCTCCACACATGTACCATCCCTCTCACCTTGTACTAAGAATATAAGGCATGTGAATGCCTAATTTTAAATACTACTCATTCTCTCCTCTTCATTGTGGGACTCAAACCCACAACTTTCTCTCTCTACAAAAACATCTTAAGAAAAAAACCGCCAGTTCATACGGCAACATGGAATGGACTGACATTTTCCATTATGTTTTGCCTTTGAAAGACAGAAGAACTAGTCTAACTCTAATACCAAGATTGCCTAGGATTCTTGCACAATAACAAACGATGTGTGAAAATTCATTGTGTCCCATTATGGAAGGCGTGAGGTCACAACGTACCGCTATTGCCATTGGTATCACAGGTCTCAAATACTTTTCTACAAGAAACCTCTAAGCAACATGCTAGCATTCCAACTTGATGGGAAGACAGTTACCCATTTTAAGAAGTACATTGCTATCGTGTCTGGTGACTAGGCTACTTGAATGAATTTGCCTCTTGACTGGAACACCCTTAGTGTTGTGTATCTCATGGACATTGAGCTCATAATGGAACAAATGGATGAAGGCAGGGAATCCTTCTATCATCACTTGGCCAAATTATTTGTCAATCTGCTAGGGGCTCAAGAGAGGTTTCAAGACCATCTAGTTTGAAACATCAACCTAGTAGCCAAAAACACCCAACCCCTTGAAGTTCCCAAGGAACATCCAAAAGCAAAAGAAAAGCAAGGAGCCCATCTCCTTCAAGGAAGAGAGCAGAAGATCCTAGTCGTAAGTCTCGCACATATGACATTGAGCCACCAGCTAAAGGCAGAAAGAAGGCTCGAAGTCCTTCTTCTTCAAGGGTTCCTTCAAAGGAATTTGATGCTCCCGCTTCAAAATAAAAACATCCCAATGCCGATCCCAAAGCCAAGGGTAAAAGACAATCAAGAAGACGTACGCCTTCAGAGGCACCTCTCAATGAGTCGTTTGTCAAATTGGTTCCTGAAGGTAAAGAGGAAAACCTAGAGCTCAAAGCCTATGGACATTCCAGAGGCTCACGTCCATGAGGCTAGTGATCCAATGCATGTACCTCTAAGGATAAGTAACAGGGGTATACCTCTTGAGAAGTTGAGATGATCGAGCTAGATAGCCCTTCATCATCTTCTCAAATACCATCTTATCTTGTTCACGAGACTGAGAAATATGGCACAAAATCTTTTGCTTTTGATGAACTAATGGAACTAACAACCTATTTTGATAACAATGAAGGGATTATTAACACCTTGAAAGGCATTCCTGCGCCCCCCCCCCCCCAACAAACATGGTGAGCCTTCTTCTTCTTATCATGACCCATGTGAGAGTCACATGGACGTTGTAGTGCCTGGTCCTTCCACTGAAGACCTACTAAGGTAAATAAAGGGCAAGGCTCCAATGGATGAGGATGTATCTCCCACTCCTGATGGTAGTGCTTCTCTTCAGCTTTGTGGAGAAGGCTTATCTCAAGTTGAAGTGTCTGTCAGCATTTTAGCAGCATTGAAGACCCTCTCATCATTTGGTTTCTTCGACTTGGGTTCACCTCTCCATGCCGGTGACCCAATCTCGATCCACATTTCTCATCTAGCTGAGGCTAGCTCTTCAGGTATTGTCTTTTATCGAAACTCTTATTCTTCATATTTCCTCATCCGTCTATCTCTTGTTTTCAATCTTGTTCTTAATGCTCATGTTTATGCAGGTACTTCTTCAATTGCAGCGTTAGATGATGTTCTTAGATCTGAGCCTTCTTTCGCCAATGCTCCTCTCACTGTTGAAGTAGTCGCCTTAGTCATCACCCCTCCTGCTGAACCAAGTGGAGCCACTGCTCCTGAGCTAAAGGGAGCTAATGCCCATGAGGTGCAAGCTGACAGTTCTGAAAGGGCCTTGGTTCTTGTTGCCACTCCCCCAAAAGGCCTGGTGGGGGTCCATGATAAAAGCATCTCTTGAAGAAGAACAAAAGAAAATGACCCATGAACTCATAAGGTCTATTTACAGATACTAAGAAATTACTCATTAACAGAGCTTAAGGCAACCCCACTTCTTGTTCTTCAATGACATCCTTTGTGGGCTCAATGGAAGGGGATGAAGAAAGGCTTCGTAATTTGGTGAACAACATTGCCTAGGATGCTAAAGATGCCTCTTCTATCAGAGAAGCATGTCTTCCCAGATGGGATTCTTACGGGAGAATTGGCTAGCACCGACCGTCATAGTGAAATCTTAGATGCTCGCCAGGAATTTAAAGTAGTCGAGGTTAGGGTCGAGGAATTCAAGGCTCAATCTATGATGGTGAAGGTTTGTCATCAGGCCATGCTGGAAAGTGTTGCAAGGGCAAAAGCCTTCTTGAGGCTCAAGAAAAAGAGCGTCTCAAGAAAAAGAGCGTCGCAAATACGAAGCTTACATGGCTGAAATTGATGAAAGAATAGATCTTGAAGCTCCTAAACTTTCTACGGCTCTGAAGCACGTGAATAAAGTTGGTGATAACCTGTAGGATGCCCTAGATGGCTTTTCTGAGGTAAGGTCGTATAAAGAGAAAACCAGGAAGCAGGTGGAGGAGAAAGTGCTTCAGATAAAAGACTGGCAGTGGCACTTCAGGAGTGCCCGATATTTCTTTTTCTTTTGTATTTCTTCTTTTTTTAACGATAGACACTGGTAGCCGCGCTTCAGGGGTGCCTGATATTTCTCTTTCTTTTGCATTTCTTTTTTTTTGAACGATAGACACTTTGAGGTTTTGTATATGATAATACTTTCTTCAAGCGTACATTTCTTAATTTTGCAACACTTATTATGCTTAAAATCTCAATGGTATTTCTGCAGCATTATCATAATAAACGAACCACGACCCCAACTAGCACTATGAGAGAGTGGGATTTTGTTGGATAGCCAATGCTTGGAGCCATAGGATTTTAAGAACTTATGTTGTTATTAGTCATACAGGAAGGACTGTAAAAAGCCTTCCACACGCTTATACGGGGTATGGGTGGCTAATGAATGGAGTCATAGGATTTTAACACTTCATGTAGTTTAGAATCATTCAGGGGACTAGCGGTCATACATCATGGACCCGATGATAGGCCCTTTAGGGTATTGCATCGCAGACCATGTGAACGATAGTTTAGAGTCATATATCACAAACTATATGTGAAACCTTTTAAAGGCATGCATCAGGACTATATATGAAGCAATTTAAGGTCTTGTAGGAAGGACTGTAAAAAGCCTTCCACACGCTTATAAGGGGTATGGGTGGCTAATGAATGGAGTCATAGGATTTTAACACTTCATGTAGTTTAGAATCATTCAGGGGACTAGCGGTCATACATCATGGACCCGATGATAGGCCCTTTAGGGCATTGCATCGCAGACCATGTGATCGATAGTTTAGAGTCATATATCACAAACTATATGTGAAACCTTTTAAATGCATGCATCAGGACTATATATGAAGCAATTTAAGGTCGTGTAGAATAAAACATAGGTGAGGCAGTTTAAAGTCATGGATCAGGACTATATATTAGGCAGTTTAAAGGTTGTGCCAAATAGACCATTGGTAAGGCAGTTTACAATCATGTATATTAGGCAGTTTAAAGGTCATGCCAAATAGACCATAGGTGATGCAATTTACAGTCATGAATTAAGACTATATATGAGACGTATAAACGACGGTTGTCAGGATGTGCTTATTGACATCCCAAGTGGTTGTATATGTTGCTGATAACAAGCAGTTTATAGTCATGCATTATGGACTAAACACTAATCAGTTTATAGTCTTGAGGTTGTGAACTATATACGAAAAGGGGCCAGTCAAGTATGGGCGTTGGTGGCGTATTGTGGCCATCTCAAGCGTCTATACTTTGACCCTGATG